TGTGTGTGTGTGTGTGTGTGTGTGTGTGTGTGTGTGTGGGTGGGTGGGTGTGTGTGAGCCATGCTGGCAGCTAACCTGCTGTGGCAGCACATTCTAGTGAAGTAAGAGAAGTTTTACCTCCTGCAGGATGTTTAGCTCAGGTTTCAGTGAGACACAGTAAATCTCTTACAGATGAGATCATCTTGAGTTTAATTTATGTATTATCGTTTTGTTTTTGTTTGTTTTGTACAGGTTGTAAACGACAAATAACACCAAGATGTCTGAGTAAGTTGTGCTTTTGCTGTTATTTTTCTGGTTGGACAGAAGAAAGGATCAGTTTGTTTTTCATCAAGAAAAAATGGACAAAATATGGTCCAAGCTTTAGCTCAGCTGCATTAAATGTAAAACATAAAAAGCCACTCTGCAGGTTTTCACGGATTTTAAATGAAAAGATACAAAGGAGAGGAAAACAAAACTACTAAATATGAAAAATATCTCAGATCAAATGAGGAGGGGATAAAATATGAAAGACATCTGTCCAGGTGTGTCTAACACTGAGATCAATGGAATGGAAAAAATGATAAATAATAGATAAATAACGGACAGAAAAAGAGGGAACTAAAGAAGAGTTGAGGAAAATACAATTCAGTTACAACAAAGAAGACAAGAAAAGCGAGTTAAAATTAAAAAATGCAAAACGTTTATTATAATCAGCATTTTATGAGAGGTAGAGAGGAATAGTTTTATTTTTTAGCTTCTTTGCATCATAAAGGTATTTCACTTGTATAAACCCAACGCTGTTAATACATGTTTATTAGGTGAAATTATTTTTTCCCTCAAAAAATAAACATTTCTTAACAAGCTGGACAGGTTTGATTCTTAGGAAACATGTTTATTATTTATTACATTAAAGACCCCTGCAGGGTCTGTTTTCTGCTGACTCCTGTTCTAAACTGGACAGTAAAATGACCAAAGTTCTTGTATTTTCTCCTCACAGTAAGAAGTTGACTTCAAGCCGCAGGCATCATCTGAAGGTAAACTGAAAGAGCACACACACTCACACACACACACACACACACACACACTCACACACACTCACACACACACACACACACACACACACACACACACACACACCGTGCG